CCGGACGCTACTCACAGCTTGCATATCTTGACTTTGGATTTGACTTGAGACGAAGGTAGAAAGACCTGAAACTTGCATGCGATTTGCAAAGCGGTGACTTGTTCCCGGCTCTGGAAAATCCTTGGAGGTAATTGTGTCAGTGTCTTGTGTTTTTGTAACCCACCAGGAAAGCAGGTGGGAGGTGTGGTTTTGCAGAGTCCATGCCTCAGGAGCGAATCACAGCTCTGAAAACGGACCAGACAGAAGTGGAGATGAGCGATGTCAGCGAAACAGCCAGTGGCATTGTCCGGACAGCCAAAAGCCCACCTCAAACGTATCCTGAACTGATCTTAAATAAGAACAAACGAGTCATATTTATATATTTTTAGTTGGCCTCTTTAACCACATCAGGGTGCCATCCCCATTGGTGCCAGTCCCAGGGGTCGGACAGGTAGGGGAGGGTCTGCGCAACACGTGGGGCCTGGAAGAAGAAGAAGAGGAGGAGGATGATGGTGGGGAGAGCAGTGGAGGGGACAGTGTGGAGGAAGTGACAAAGATGCATGTGGAACAGCATCAACAAGACAAGAGCAGAGCAGGTTTGCATCTTATTGTGCAAAAGTGATAAAAAAGTTGTTTATAAAATACCTTTTTTTGTTACAAGTAAATGTTTCAGATCATGTCATAGATTTTTTTTTCTTTTAGTGGATGTCGTGGAGATATTAGATAGTGATGAAGAGGAGGAGGAAGTGGTCATCCTTTACCCTGAGACAACAACAAAACCTAAGTAAGTGCACTTAATCTTCCTTGTCATTGCGGAGAAAGTAAACAAAATGTTTCGGATGCTGGTTTCACTTTCTTTCTTTCTTTTTTTTTTTTTAGAACTACAGGGTCCAGTTCTGGCCAGAAGGGGGCAGGAACATCCAGGAAACAGAAGAAAAAGTGATTCGTCGAGTAGTTGATCTGAGTGCATCGTAAAATGAAAAGAAAAATATGTAGAATGACATTGCGATGCAATGAAAAATAACATTGCGCCAATAAATATATTTTTTACATAAGTTATGTCCAAGACTTTATTAATCATACAGATAAATCAGACATTTATTATTTTTTCATTCATTGGGTAAAAAAAAAAAAGAAGAAAAAAGTTTTACAAATGCACAGAGTACCTACATTATTTACCAATGTATCGATAGACGAGATGAAGTAAGAAAAAGTCAGGTTCCACCGAGATTTGAACTCGGATCGCTGGATTCAGAGTCCAGAGTGCTAACCATTACACCATGGAACCCTTATGAAAGCATGACATCGCCCAGTGGAATTTAACCTACCACCAGTAGAACTGTGATATCTTTTATTTTCTGTTCAAAGTCTCGTAACAGGATAATCTCTCACCACGTTTTCTTTTAGGTAGGATCTGCGTAGTCCTTGAGTAATAGTTTCATAATCCTAGCGACATATTGTTCTTCAATCCGATATAGTGTCGTCTTCTGCCAACTAGTTTATAGTTAAATAATTAGATTAGTGATTAAAATAAAAAAAAGAATAAATAATCAACAAGAAAAAATAGTTGGCCCGTACGGGGATCGAACCCGCGACCTTGGCGTTATTAGCACCACGCTCTAACCAACTGAGCTAACCGGCCACGGAAACCTGGCCGGTCAGGTGTCTTTACATCTCATAGCATGTGACATAAAGTTGATAAAGACCGAGGTTTAGTTTGTCATGGAGAACAACCCTAGTCATATAGTGAAAACTGTAAAGGACACCTTCAGATGAGGGGAGAAAGGGGAAAAAAGTCAATCTGTACATATGAAGCTGGTAGAGACTGTTAAGAATTAAAAAGAGGAATAACTTGATTTAGCTCGTTAATTCGTTCCTCTGATCCGGGACTCTTGAGCCTCAATATGTGCAGTGAGAAAGCGCAATCATACGACATCAGACTTCAGATATCTAGAATTTATCCAGAGAATTCAATGCAAGAAGAATGTTACAATAAGCATCTCACCTAGATTAGCAAAAGTCCAAGACATGACAAAACAGAAATAATTGCACGAGTGAGAAAACACGCCCATTGGTCGCCTTATTTGACGGACGCGTTGAGGAACTGCGTTTGCGTGGGTGTGGAAAATTTTCGTCTCATCAGCTGTCATAAATGAAAGGCTCTGTTGAAACGCGTTTGAAAGACACTGTTGGACTCTTCCAAAAACGGGGGCAACATTTCTGTGCTCTATTCCCTGTGGCAGTGAACACAGCTAATTGCGACCTCCGGCGTTTACCCAAGCAGTTCAAATTGTTCATCGCGACAATTTGAGGGCGCAAAATATATGGGAAAAATAAGTCAGTTTGTGAGAAGTGAAAGCAGTGGAAAATTTTGTGCCCTCATGCCCCCTGTGAGGGTCAACAATAATGCACAAAAAGCCCTGGACCACACCTCGTTTTCTTCTTTACCGTCCCAAGAGTCTGACTTCCTTGTGAATTGTTCAAGATACCTCGAGGTCTTATAAATCTTCTAAAGATATTTTTGCGCAATTGTGTTTGTTTTTACTGCCTCCTTTCAACCTGCTCCCTGACACTCTTAAGAGACATCCCATTGTTTGTGAAGTTGTATAACATTTTTCATTCAGCTCCAAAGAGGTGAATCACATTTTATAGCTTTTAATAGTAAATGAGCAAATAACTCACTTTTAGCCTGTTTTCATACAAGCAGGTGCAAAACCAGATTTGTTTCCTCCTGTTTCTGTAGTAAAACAGCTGGAGCTCTTGGACACATTGCAGTTTGATAAACCAGAATGTGAACAACAGCTGTCAATACTTACCTGTCTGGACTGTGATAAATGTTATCTAATAAGAACCATGCATTAAGCTTTTGTCGTCACATGTTTGGTGGCATTAGTTTAAAAGGCAGCATTAAAAAAAAAAAGATCAAGAAAATTGACCGCTGAGTTAATTGGTCACTTTAAATGAAGGTTTCTGCATGTTTGGTCCTCCTGTGTGTCTCTGTGTCATCAGGTGATGAACTGGTGAGTTGTCCAGGGTGTACTTTTTGCTATAAACCCAAATCGGAACTGTGCTTTTAAATGATATATATATAGTAAGGCAACATTATTGCAAATTTTTCTATCAGATTTAGATTTAACCCCGGGTTACACTGAGCTTTGGATTTTTCTTATCTTAGACTATTCTACGATCTAACTCACTTTCCTCACAAACCTATGAGATCCTCAAAGAACACTCCACTGGATTTATACTGAGATTAAATTACACAAGTTGATAATATTTACAGACAGAGTGGCTCAAAAGGCAGTGGATTTGTTTGTTTTTGCATTCTTGTTTTCCCACAATGATGCACTTAACATTTTGTTGGTTTAAATCACAAAAACAGACAACAAAGTACTTTCTCATTTAGTAGGCAATGATAAGAATGTTTTTTTTTCTTAGTAGGATGATGTCCTAACATGTGAAAGCTGAATAAATTTGCCAACGATCAACTCACAGCAGCTTCTGGAACTTCTCCATTTGCAAAGCCGCAGCGCTCTCTGCTGGACACAAACTGATATAGCAAGTAAGGCTTTGCACTTCAAATTTTAGCTGAGCAGAAGTTGGTCTGATTTTGTTTGGTCTCTCCTAAACACCTTTTACAACCAGGTTTGGTTTATGGTTGCTTTAGGTGAACCTTTGGTAAATACCCATCTACATAGAGCAATATTAACGACAACCATACGAACAAACAATGCAAACCACAAATCAATACTTTTCCTTCCAGACCATCAGCAGCAGCAGGTTCAAAAGGCAATTATAAACTACATATAAAGTACATATATGTACAAATAAGTACATATAGAATGGTATTCACACTGTTTCATGAGTCGAAAGAATTTTTTTTTAAATCACAAATTGTATGTTAAAATAATTACAGTAAAAGTTAAGCATTTCATTGCAAGACTAAATCAGAAAGAGAAATCTAATCTACAACTACAAAAAAAAAGGAGAAAATTCTGGAGTGAATTTTCAGAACCACTCCAGTCAATGAAATTTTAATCTGTTGCTGTCAGAGGTTTTGAAGGTAAAGACCAGTCAAGGCACAAGGCTTTCAAGCTGAAGAATTCTTAGAAGTGAAAATACACTTTAACTGTGAGAATCACTGAAAAATTCAAGCCTCAGAAACTGACAGGAATCAGTTCATAATGACCAAGATGAACTGAAGCCAGAGTGGTAGACGTCATTGCCTTATTAAGGCAAAAATGAAAAATATTCTGTTTTAAAATCGATGATCACTGTTATATTGAAAAATGTGGACTTTCACCGTACCCTGTTTATATGATCCACAATACGCTTCTTAAAATTCATCAGGAGAGAACAGGACTGTATTACTTTTAAGACATGTAGAGACATTTTACGATCATTTGTCTCTGTTTTTCAAGGTGTGGCCACTGGAAGAATGGGATCTCAAATGTAGAATCTTTGTAGAAAATGTGTTCCTACTAAACACATTTTCTACTCTGCTTTAGGCCAGACAAACTTAATTGCAGTTATAGATGTTTTATAAAAATAGTTAAAATATTTTACTCTTAATATGGACACAGAATCAGAAACGCTGTTTACTTGATGTAAAAAAAAAGACAACTGTCAAAAACTTTAGAATAAAAGGGTTGCATTTCAAAAAACGCATTGAACACTTATTTTATATGCACATATATGAATATATTTACCCCTTGGTATACAGTAACTCAGTGTACCACACGACACTTTACTGGCTGCAGCTGTCCACTGTTAAGGTTTAATCTCTTGCATTTGGTTAATGACTGATCCAGCTGACTTTTACGCACTAATAGATATTTGCACTTAAAAGCAGAACTTTGGGGGCCAAACAAGTTCCTCTGGTTACCAAAGGAGCCAAGAAACAGAGGCCACTGTGTTTAGACTTTTTAGTTCATGCAGTGTCTCTTCAACTTGTACTATGGAAAAGTATGAACAGTTATTAAAAAGCCATATTTAAAAGCAAGACAATAAAAAAAAATCACTTCAAACTTTTTCCACTTTTAATGTGTCATTTATCTTGTACACTTCAGCTAAAAAAAGAGAAACAATTCCTTTGGTAAAAATAATATAAAATGTTTGCAATAACTGATGAACAAGTTTCCACATTGCTGAGAAATCTTCACTTGAATTTCAGCATTCAGTTTTCTTGGGTGCACACCTAATATCAGTCATAGTGCATTTAAATAATTCACTATAAAGTTTTTTGCTTCAGTTAAAGCCATAATTTCTAGGAAGGTTATACAAGATTACCTACTGTAGAAAGATATCAGTCAGGAGGAGGGTACAAAATAATTCCACATTATATTAATAACATAGCAATTGCACAGAGAAAACATCATAATTAGCTCAGTCATTATCCAAGATAAATATACATAAAACAAACAAACAGAGGAACACTAATGTAACTTAAGGTTTCTGGTAACTACTTCCTTTGTTCTACATGTGAAAACAATATGTATTCTTAATATGTCTAGACTAAGAAATAAGAATAAAACATTTTCCTCCAAAGAAAACATATAGGCTTGACTGATAAGTTAACATATTGAGCCCTAACTCTAAAAAGTATCATGACACAAATCATAATATGCATCATACGAAATTAGCACAAGACCCACAGTGAAACATGGGGGTGGCAGCATCAGGCTTTGGCATTATTTTCAATGGGATGGGATGAAGAACATTGTCAAGATGGATAAAATTAGGATCACTTCCAAATACCAGATTGATTTGGTCAAGAAGATTCAGGTGTCTACTAGACAGCGGAAGTTCATATAGTATCTACAACTAATTTACATTTTTGAATGGCTAATTCAGAACCCAGAACTAAGTTTGACTAAAAAAAAAATCATTGAAGTCACTTGAAGAGATGGAATTCCTTCAAGACATTTCATTATTTTTCATACAATGTCTCAAACATTTTGCAAATGAAGTATTTGCATCAAGCTAATTATCGCAGTATACATTTAAAATCTATACTGTTTGTCAGCTAAGGCACTCTTTATGTCAGGTTTACAGCATATCGAGTCATGTTTATGTCACACACTTTACTCCCGTCTCTGGTTGTATTTTATGCATCGACTCTTCAACATGACATCGACGCGCTCTTCTGTCAAACACTGCTGGCTCTATAAATGCCTGTCAGCCTGTGTGGTGTGTGATAATTAGAACTTATCAAAGCTGCTACTCATAAACCTGGCTTCAACTGCGCAGTGAGGATGTACCACCCTATTTGACTTTAAGTCTGCTAAATTATTTCGCATTCTTTAAATGCATAGTTGTGTTGCTATTTGTGCATGTTAAAGAATTTTTTTTTTTTTTTTTGCTTTTAAGTGATTTTGGTGAGTCAGCAATGTGTCAGCAGGCCACCAGATCTTTAACATGTTCCAGAATAAGTAAGCCACAATCCAGGGCATCAACCTCATAAACCTCAGCAGCATTAAGCTCTCATATTCCCTACCACTTTTTAAAATACAATTTTAGAACAAATTTCTAAAATTAAAAATACACAATAAAATCAAGTACATGTTGGAGGCTTATCATTCATTAATGTTAAAGACCAGCTTTTACTGAAACATTTTAAGGCTCATAAAACAGCAGACACTCGTCTGATGTTTCTAAAATGAGTTTGGTTTGGTTGGACCCCACTTACATTTGTTCAGCATGTGACTGAGATGTTCACCAGAGAAAGTGAGGCCATTTTAGCCAAAATAAGACTCGGCTAAACTTTGTCACGTCAGACCCCGACAGTCATGAATTTGACTGCTAACTTGACACTATTAGGAGGGATCACTTCAGCATTTCAGTGAGGAAGTGTGAGGCCACAATCCCCGCGGCCAGGATGACGAACATGACCAGCACCGCCAGCCCTCGCCATAAAACCAGCTGAGTCCCCGACAGGACATCCCCCACTACGGTGGTGGGTTTACTCTGCTCTGGAGGGTGGGCCTCCTGGTACACATGGTCCTCCCCATCACGAGATGCTGCAACACCAACCTGGCTCTGGTTGCAGGCTGAAATTCAGAATTTAGGTTTAGAGACTTTGTACTAGGACACAAGTTCAAAGAAACAAGTTTGAAATCACTTATCAAATGTGCTGGTTTGATCGTTTCATGGGCTCAATTCTCTTCTTTGACGATTTGCACCACCTACATGTTGAAGCTTTGTCCCTTTCTTATTATGTTTTTTACCTGTAAAGAAACCTGTGAACTTCATCCTTTCTTTGTTAGTAAATCTGTCTTTGTAATCAAGCATTTTCATAAGACAGAGATAAGTGTAAAAATGTTCAAACCTCAAATTTATTCTATGTTTGGACCAGTTGAAATAAAAAAATGACGACTCTAAATCAAACCAAACTAGCTGTGAGAGATCTGCTAGTCGATGCTGTCTATCAGAGTGATAGTCACTTTTCCCCACAAAGAAACCTAGCTTAACTTGTCAGCTGTCAAAGTAGCTACAAAATGATTCCTTGATGGATGTAACTGGGTCAATACTGAGATATGGCACGTGTGTGGCAATTTATACAATGCAAAAATACGTTTGGGGTATTTTTCACTCCAAAAAGTTATGCATGAAACCACCAAAACTAGAAAGGTATAAAAAAGCCACCATGTGACGAACAATCTTTGAAACACGGAAGGAGAAGTTTAAGAGTGGCTTGGTAATTGTGGCTTGAGTGTAAAAGCACTTTGGGTGAAAGAGTATCACTAGAAAAGTGCAACATAGATATACTGTTTGATTTACTTAAAATATGTAAGCATAAAATTTATGCCAAGATTTTGGCCTAAATAAATGTAAAGGGCTTATTTAATCCCCAGCATTTAGCATACACCAACTAGGGTAATTTTACTAAAAATTGTGCAGCTTTTATTTTCAGTAGGCAATAATACAGAAGAAATCAGGATTATGCACCTTTGCGATTTTCCACCGGAACACATTTGAATGAAATATGTTTGAAATTTACATTTCTAATGAATTTCCCTGAGAGAGGTGGCGCTCTGCCAGGAAGTTGTGTTTAACAACGTACCAGACAAGATGACAAACATGTTCCAGCAGCCAATGCTTGCTTAACATCTGAAAAACTCTACCACATTCAGAGTGGTTCAACCACATGTCACTAACATCTTCCAGAAAACTTACACGCAGCTGAATGTAATTTCTGTTTGAAGTGTCTTAGCAGAGGAAATTCCACACGCACATTACAAAAATCCAGACAGGAAAGGTGCAAAAACTAGCCCTTCCTATTGACATTGTCAGTATAAACATTATTACTTCCATGTTATTTTTGCTCAAAGGACAGTCCAACGAGAAACAGCACCACACATCAGACTCTCTGACTTGTACAAGTGGTAATAAGATTTGTGTTTTCCAGCTCACCTAAATTTTGCATCTTGGTCGTATCTTTTTCTTCGTTGCTCTGCACTCCTGCCCTCACAAGAGCCTGAGCAAAGACATGAAGCTTTTTGTTAAAAGTGTGGATCACATTTTTAAATCATTTTCTTAGAAATATTTTATGCTGCAAGCTTTGCGCACATCTTTGCAGCTTAATCCTTTAAGAGTTGTTCTGTCTCTCTAACGCACCCTAAAGGCTGATCAAGACTGCATGTAGACAGAATGTGGATGGTTCTTTTGAGGATCTGACAGAGCATTTCTGCAGTGCCTTTCCCACACATGAGGCAGCACAAGACTTCACAGGAAGTCTGTACAGAATGTCCGTGGAGTTTTGGTTGTACTTCATTATCGTCAGCATTTTTTTGGGGGCGACATTGACTGGCATGGGTCTGATGATGAAATCAGAGAGGAATGATCATCCTCCTCTTGGTCCAATAACAAAACATTTCACAGAGCTGATAAGACAAATATTTTGCAATGTTCATGCCATGACAATAACAGCAAATATATTCGGCTCCGATGCTCAGGCTTGATATAGCAGTTGACTGCATGTGATGAAGGGTGTTGTACATGTAGTCTAGTGTCTAGAAAACCCAGTAGCCTGGTGAAAACCACTCCTTTGCACTACGGTTTGCTTTGTTTCTAGTTGGCCTCCCCCTAAGTAGAAACGATTACTTCCTGGAGATGTGGGTTCTGTTGATATTTGAAATGTTACCCAATTGCTAATGTTTGACTGTGATTTGTTTTGATGAGTCAGTTTGACATTATGAAGCTCAGCGGAAATTGCCTGCATTATAAATAACCATCCTTCTTTGCTAAGACAGAAAACTGTAAAACAGCGGAAACCCTGACTTCTTTTAAATCGCAATTAAAAACACACCTGTTTAGAATTGTTTTTGAAATGTAATATGTAACAATGTATTGTCTATTATATGTTGCATGACTTTGTGTTCTTGTGTTTATGATGTAAAGCACTTTGAAATGCCTTGATGAAATGTGCTATACAAATAAAATTTGATTTGATTTGATTTTACTGTTTAATGTTAACGAGATAGCTGTTAACGTTAAACAATATTCAGTATTTGGAATCTAGCAAACCTGAATATGCGGCCAACGCAAACTGAACAGCTTCTTCCATTTCCTCCGCTGCCTTTGCTAAAACTACAGGCAGACCGTGCTTGGAAAACAGCGCAAAAAATCAACATCATTGTTCACAACTTTTCCTTCGTTTTCCTGATTGCCCCTTTATAAAATCTAATGGAGGAAATCCAAGTCAATAGGAGAAAGTCCAGACTGCAATAAGCAACATCTGAATCGAACAGAATAATGCAGGAAGGTTAGTAACCGAGGGAAGCTGTAACATTTTTAAGCCTATGGTGTCAATGTAGAATGCTCTTTTTCTTGTGAACTACCATCTTCAAGCACTGGCCTTCAGTGATGAGCAGTGCAGAGGACAAAGAAGATCAGAGGAGGCGTGATGGAAAGCGCAAAAAAACGGCTCAAAGAGGCAACATACATATATTTTACATTTTGTGTGGATTTTTCCTTCTCACTCCTTTTGCCATCATGTGCAGACAGAGCCATGAGACAAGTTCCATTTATTGCATAGGCAGCCAATCTCTGCAGCTCTGTATTATATGACACAGATCGAGTTTTGACCGGGCCGTGCTGTACGCAGCTGCTTAACTCCACCATGACTTCCTGCCCGATTGTCCAAACTGAGATTACTTTAGCTGCCGGCTCTTGTGGGTAATATACAAATGATTACTCCATTCTCTAGAGAAGATAGAATCAACCATTTTGTTATCTAATTATATGGCTGCAGATTAATTGGGTAAATCTTTTAATCACCTCTTTCACAGCCTTCTCCCAGTCAAGCTTGCACAGATATATGACGAAGAAAATGGACTGCATCAACACACAAATTGTAAGTCCCGTCCACAGCCCTAATTAAGGAGAGAAGACAACAGAGTTTGCGCTGAGCTGAAGGTTAACGGTTCATTTCAATACAACACACGGCGACTGATTTCCTACCTACAATCCCCAACTTGGCTGGAAACATCAGGGAAATGCCAATGGGGAAGCCGATGACGTAGAAGCCCACCAGGTTACACAGAGCACCAATCAGCTGTTTACCAGCTCCTCTGAGGATACCTCCAGTAACACCCTTCCAGGAGGAGATGGTGATTTGGTCAAGTCGCATTTTTCACATGCAAATACTAGCTTGAAATTCTGCAGGGAAGCCATCACTTACTGCGACAGCATCACACAGATGTGTGAAGCAAAAGATGATCATGACGTCAGAAACTCTCAACAAAGTATCTCTACAGGAAGAAAGAAAAAAAAAACAAGCACACGGTTTATGAGTTTATATCTAAAAACATGTCAAAAAAAGCAGAAAATCTGATAAACAGACTCGGATAAAAAAAAAGAGCAAAATATTTTGGACAGTGAAACACAAAGTGTAAATGAAACACTTGAAGTTACAAAAAATCACGAAGGTGAATAGAACCCAAAAGATGAGTTGAATAATTATTTTAGCTCTGTTTAGTCTGCCATTTAGCATGGAGTGTCTCGACTTCTGTAAATCTTCAAGCACTCAGGCAAGTGGAACGGGATAAAGGCTAACAGTGTTATCAACAGCTTCACTTACTTATCTGAGGTAAAAATGTACCCAATGACGTCTTTGCAGCCACCAACAATTGCTCCGACAACACATGAAACTATGGCTGAAAAACATCAAATAAGCAAAAGACAACTGAGTTAAAAGTTTGCAGATTAAAAACACAAGGAAAAATAAATATTATAAACCCTGAGATGTGTAGCTGACCTATGTGAGATGGCATTACGCTATATTTTAACCACAGTTGAAGCTACAGTTAAATTTTGTAGGGTTTTACTGACATCTGGTGAGAATTTATTTGCTTTTGCATACATATTTATTTAGAAATCTGGTTGAGTGTTTAGTGCTTATTTTACACACTATATGTAACAGAGGCGAGTGAAATGTGCGTGTATTGTTCTTACTTGCACAGACAATGGGGACTTTGCAGGACAGCTTGGCCTGTTCAATGTTCCCTGCACCGAGAGCATTTCCAACACGGACACTAGCAGCAGTAGAGAATCCAAAAGGAAACTGTTGGAAGAAAAAGATGTGCACTTCAATTTCTAAAAGAGAAAAAGTCTTTCAGCTATGTTTTAATTTACCATGACACTGAAATGAGAGAAAATTCGGAACGAGGGAACCGTCTCGGAGGAGTTACCATGTAAGCAATAACCGCCAGCTGGTACATGACGGAGTGTGCTGCCAGCTCCACTTCACTGATCACTCCGGCCAGGAATCCTCCCACTTCGAAGATCCACCACTCCAGACAGAGCATCAGCATGCTGGGGATGGCCAGCTGGATGAACGGTCTCCACTCCTGGAGGCAGTCCAGCGACCAACCTGAAGGTCAAAACCTTTCATTTATTTGATTGAAAAACAAACTTATCAAAGGATTATCAGGACCTTGGAAAAGGTTTTTAAACTACAGCATTTTCACATTTTGTCAGATTACAAACACAAACCTCAGCATGACAAAGAAGACATCTTCTTCTTCAGTCATGTTGTCTACTTTACCATTGTAAGGTAGAGGGCATACAATACATGGGTTTCAAAAATGTTTCTACACAAAGTTTTGAAAATGTGGTTTGCATTTGTACCCAGTTCCCTCTACATTTAACCCGGTGAAGATAATCCTATGTATCCAGAGGTGTTCAAAAGTCATATAATTGGTTACGTGAGTCCACTTATGATTCGATTTTCTTATTCTGCACATCATATATTTATTGCTTATATTGGAAAGCCAATAAATAAACAGAAATAAATAAATAAGTTGTTTATTTTTATACTTACTGCAAACATGTAAAAGAAGATCCTGTCAGACAAGGCCAAAAATAAACTTTTGGTCTACAAAAACACCAAAAAACAAACAAACAAAAAAAGCCCTGCTTTTATATTGTCCCCCAAAAAAGCAGTAAAAAACTGACCTCCCCATGTAGCCTTATGGAGACCCTTCAGGCAGATGTAAGAAAACAAGACCACAGCCAGCACATACTGGGAGATAGCATTAGCTGCTGCAGACCCACTGGAAGATACAAAATAAAAAAAGATATCAGGATGATGAAGAAGCCCAATCAAGTTTGACAGAACTGATGGAAGCTTTTCAAAAACTTACGCAACACCCATCTCCAGACTATACAGGAACACATAGTTGATTATTGCGTTCAGGACATTTACGATGGCTCCAGTTATAACTTGAGGCCATATAATCCCCTGTAAACATCACAACGTATTCATAGAGTTACTTTTATTAAACAGACTTTGATTTCAATAACGTTGTTAGGACTGTGTGCTTCAGTAAACCGTACCTGGTTTTGGAGGTACCTTCCCTGCAGCTGGTACATAAAGACAGCCTGTAGAAAATACCACAGTGTTATATTAAAGCTTCTTTGACATGTAAAAGGAAAATACTAAGATTACTGACTAAGCAACTGGACAACTTCCCTGCAACAGGTGAAGCTTTAGTAATTGTGACTCAAAAACAGGTCAAGTATTTTAAGTTTCAGACACAAACTTTTGTCTGGGAAGGTTAAATGAACTGAGTAGTGAAACTCACTGGTAAAGCAGGCATGAATATGTTCACATAGATCTGGGAGAGTCTTCATGAGAAAAAACAGAGAGCAGAAGAGTGACCCTGACAAATATGCAAAACAAGTCAGCATTTGTAGATAACAACATCAGACAGGTACACCTCAACAAATTGAAATATTATTTGAAAAAAACTACTTTTTTCAGTAATTCAGTTGAAACAGTAAGACTCATATGCTACGAGATTTCATTAATAACAGAGTGATTTAGTCTTATTCATTATATCAGATTATTTTTGAAGATTTTGGGGATAATATACAAAACATTTAATTTCTTAGAAATTGAAACATATCTGTGTTTCAAATCAGGATTTGAAACACAGAATGTTCTGTTGTGGCATGCGCAATAATACTGGTTGCCTTGACATCTTTCCTGCAGACAGCCACTGTTAGAATAATTATGTTTTGTTATCATTCTTACATTTGCAGTTATAACAGATTTAGTATTCACATCCCTGAGAAAAGCTTTCGTACTTGTTAGACCTTGATGCTGCATCTACTTGTATCTTTGGGATACTCCTATCTGCCTCCCTCCACATTCCTTTTCTGCTTTGTAATAAAAGAGAAAGCCTAACAAGGGGCCGCCAGGGCGCTCAGTGGACGGCTTGAAGCAGCAGATTGCTGAGTTCTCTCCTTTTGCAAAAGCTTTCATAAAATTCACTTACGTTGTCTGTTTGTTCTTTTATTTAGATTCATATATACCTAAGAGCCACTGACCCCTGCCACGATAAGGGTAAGCAGCAACAAAAAGTCGCTGCCAGAGAGGCTCACTGTTCAGAAGGCTCTATGCAATCAAATTACATGTTAGAAGAAAAAGGTGTGATAGAAAATCTGCTTACTTCCTTTCCCCCAAAAAAGTTTCAATGCAACTATATATGCAAGACATTTATTTTACACACTGGTAACCTGTGCTTTTTTTTAAATGGAGATCTGTTATTTTTGTGGGACTCTCATAAACCACTTGTACCAATGTTTTATTAGCTTTCACCCTGTTTCAAGACTTTAATTAATTAAGTGAGAATTAAGAATTAAGTGTCAAGGTTGAGTATCAGTTTATTTTGCTGCATGTAATAGATTGGGAATAGCAGCTGTAGAATGTGTATAAAAAATATATAAACATATTTGCATGTTTTGTGATTAGATATTTGCTAGAAAACAAATATGAAAGATGGAATACTTCTTTTAAATAACCACAATATTTCATTATTTGAGTGGCTATGAAGCAAAAGCTTTTTGAACCGAGGACTTTTTTTGCTACAGAAGAGATTGTGCAACTTTGCAGAGTAGAGGTAATGAATAAACAGAAATGGTAATGCTGAAAAGGAACAATTGCTGATTAAAGGGATTCATTATGTGCCCCTGCATGTGGTGCTGCAGAGAGCTAACCTGGCAACTTCTGGACTCTGCTTGAAAGCCAGCAGAAGGGGCTCGGTGTTGATGAGGACGGCCCAGCAGGGGAAACAGGCCAGCAGCAGAATCAGAACCCCCCTCTGGAGAATCACGCCCACACGCTTCAGGTTACCGCTCCCATAGGTCTGCGTGAAACAGGCAGACAGACGTTCAGCGCGAACACCAAGACTGCAGCAACAAGAAAAGGTGTAGGAGATCCTGGAAAGCTAATTTGATCCAAACGCTCACTGCTGAGCTGTTTCAAAGTGCATTCCAGGAAAACCTGGGAACCCAGCTGTAACTGGTGGGACTGACTCGGTTACGTAAATAAAGTGAAAGAACAACCTCTGTTCAGAACAGTACCTGTGATATGAGCGTATCGCAGGTTAATGACAAACCGGTGCCAATGGAAATACCGGTGACATTAACCACCTGCAGAAATACAAAAAAGATACAGAATGCAAGGTAGAGAAAACACATTGCTAAATACAAGGTTGGATGAAACAACACAAAAAGAAACCAGGATTCCAGAAAGTCTCCTTACCGCAATCGACAATGAAACCCCGCCTAGCTCAGTTTTTCCCAGGTGGCCGCAAAACACCATGCTGACAAAACTGATCAGAAAGACCATCAGCTGGGAAATGAGCTGAAATATATCAACACATATTTATATATAACTGGATGAAATGAATAAAAATGAAGAAATATCTCACGTAGTGAAAATCTCAACAGATTTTGTTAAATGTTGAAATATCTCTAGGTCACTGTAGGTCACTTTAAAAGTAAACAAAACATTTAGAGAATTGGTTGCACACATTAATTTTCTGTCAAATTTGCCACATTTTTCATTTGCCTTTAATCTTCAATTTTAGATAACTTTGAAATGTTGACTATGCACAACTTAACTTTTGTTGCAACGTGTGCAGAGATCACCTGAAATAAAATGTTCAGAATAATTTTCAGTCTCCTTCATGTCATACCACATGTTGCAACGCTTCTCCGTTTGCATGTGGGACAGCCCAGTCTTTTTCTAATCTGCACCTTCTTCCTTGGACTGTTTTCGACTTACAATAAACATTATACGGATGCAATATTTATAAATTTGATTTAAGATATGCCCCGAATGCAGTAGTTGAGCAGAATGCTCTTCTGTATCATCTGGAAACAGAAACAGGTGCACTGTAAATAATTGTGAAATTCAAGCAAGAACTTAGTGGGTTTTCAAACCATTTTACATCTAAAATGTGGGATTCTACAAGATTGGCTTGGAGAACAGAAAATAATAAGAAACCCAGTTTTAATTTGGTAAAGTCTGGGGGTGTTTAAGTCAGGGGAGAAAAAAATGTCTTTCCAATGGAAATGTACAAGATATGTACATTTCTATGTACATTACACTGCACATCTCTGAACTTCTTCCTCGAAAATGGTTATTGGTATGCATCTGTCATCCAGAGGACACCAGAAACATGTGCAACAAGTTTCTTTGGTCACATCATGACTATGATTACATTTTTGGCCTATGTGCAAAATGTGAAAAACTAACATACTTAGCTCAGTTTTGAGTATGAGTGTTTTAAATAGAAATAGAGAGCGTGATTGTGATGGTATATGGATGAGAAATAGAATGGAATAGAATAGAATGATCCTTTATTTTTCTTCCTTTTGTAAATGTGGGGATGTCAGCAGTAAAGTCACAGGCAAGAAGAAGTGACAGACACACTTGAAAATAATAATAATGAAAAGTAAGAAAATAAGACACAGTGCAATGAGGTCAAATGTACATAGTAAGAAAAACTATGTATTTATAAAAATGAACAAGTGCAAATTTGAATAAATATAAAACAGTTAAATATTTTCATAAATTATCAACTGTGCATTTGTTGATATTCGTGAAACAGAAAAACAGTCTATTTAAGGGGCTATCCTGGAAGAAAACCTGTTAAAAGATGCAAAAGGTATAAGACAGAGGTGGAAGTTCACCTTTCTGAAGAACAACATAAACATTGCTCTAACTGTTAGAGCAATGCATATTCATTTGGTACAAGGACATAATCACAGTCCACAGTAAGTGGCAACAATGGAAAATTGCTGCTCTAAATATAATTTAACTAAACTAAACCTCTAAAAACCTGTTAGTGTACAAAATCAGACATTCTAGGTTTTTATTTGTACATAGTTATGTTGATGTACATACCACGGTCTCTCTGGGCCTTTGCAATCCAATAAAACTTGCGCAAATATTTAATTACTGAGCTTTTGAGAGACACAAATGTAAACAGAATTTTTTTCCGTCATTTTAATATTTTGAAGCTTTTTTAAAAAATAAAGAAAAACATAAAACCGTTGTAAAAAACTGATATCGCAGCTTAAATAATAAACACAGCCGTCGAAACACGCGCAAAACTAATTACTGTCATTTACGGCGTTAGACAAAAGTGAACACCGCACTGAGTCTTACCACCGGTCCCGTCAGTTTGAACAGCTCTGCCAGCTCGTCTCGGTACTTTTGCGGGACACAGTCCCGCATTCTCCCCGGGCAGAAGCCGCAGCCCTCAGCGGGGTCTGCTGCTCCAGCCGCCTTCGGGTCCGCCTTCACTCCCTCGGGGTGCGCGGCCGCTGCTTTGCCCGGACCGTCCATAGCCTGACCAACTCTGGACTGACTCCTGTCCCGCGGGTGTCGGTGGTCGGACAGCAGCCCTGGAGACGAGAGCGGGATGTTTTACCAGAGGAGGGTGAGACGCGGGAGGGGCCGGAGCGGCGCTGTGAGTGGACGGCTGCACTCAGAGTCAGACACCCCCTGCTGCTGCTGCTGCCGTCACGGTGGGTTCAAGCGCGCGCGCGACGGGGTCAAGTTAACCGGGAACTAAAAAACAATATAAAGAGCTCACAAAATGACGTACCGTATTTTCCGGATTATAAGCCGCTCCGGAGTATAAATCGAAAAGAACTGCGATTTATAGTCCGGAACATACGGTATTTAAAAACCTAACCCTCAAAAGATGTCCTTTCTGACCCAGTTCAGCACAGAGGCACAGCTGACCCTCTATAACAAAACTTTTAATTAATTAGAAAATGTTGGTGTGATTCCTTACGCCAGTGGTTCCCAAAAATGTGTTTCTTTCTCATGTGTCTCATGTTGTTGCCTTATGCCAAATACTACCATCAGTGTGAGAGTCACTGATGTTGCTCACCTGTGCTGCCTGGATTGTGTTTCTCTATCATTAAAACCATCAACAGCCATGGAGTAAAATTTGCTCAATTTGAAAAAAATGTTACCCTAAAAAAGACAACACTTGGTCCGAGTCTAAATAGAGTTAAGATGAAATTACAGATTAAAATCAACTCCATTTAGTGCAATTTTTTTTATCAATGCCAAAAGAATTTACTCCAAGTTGTTTAAAAGAAAACATACTCTGCCATATTTTAACTCCAAGCGGAGAAAGTTTGAAGACCAGACCAAAGGCAAATAGCTTCATGCCATGTTTACACACCCCTGACTAGATTTTTTTTTCCTTTTTACAAGTTCTTATGTGGCAAAGCACACATAAGAACTTGACTTTCAACAGTTGGGTAAAAGTTGTGATGTCTCTTTCTGCCTAAATCTCACAATAAAGGAGTTTTCTATTCAAGACGCTGTTTGTTGAAGTTCATTGTTCAAATCAACACTGTTTATTTGACTGTAAAATTATATTGGATTTTCGAAACAGTCACTTTCATGGTTTGTTACTTCTCAATTAATATAGAAATCCTTTGCCGCACAATACAGATATTTGGGTGTGTCGGTAGCAAACCATAAGGCGCATGTATGCAAGTTTATACATCACCAAAAAACAAAAACTTACCAGAAATATTGTCCTACTATAACTGTATTGATTATTTCGTGACTTCTTGGCATAATCAATACTCTGGATTTGTATTCTCATTTTTATATTTCACTATGCTCTCATAAATAGATTTTTTGGGGAATCGTCTTTTAACCTCCTCATGTAGTCTATCTATCATTCTAAGCATGGTCAAAACTTTAGTCTTAATTTATCTACTGCATTTCCTCTTTAGGAAAATAAAGTGTGTAAGCTCCCCTGCATGCTTCGTTGTAAAGCAATTATTCAGACAAGCTCAATATTTAATTTCCTTTCAGCCAATTTTTCAGTCTGCATGTACCGGGCAACTTTGACCGTCCCCAGTTTCAGTCTTTTTCACATCAGCCATCTGAATTTTGAATGAGGAAATGAATCACACAAGGAAAGACCAATTAAAATGTAAACATGAAATATTTATGTTTCTGCTTCTGAATGTTCTAGACATCATACTGACTCACATAAAGCTGGATACATGCGAACAAAAAACACAAATCGTTTTCGTTTCATCTGTCAAAGTGCTTCTTTGTCCAGATTAAACATATTGAGGTTTGCAATGTCATAAAATCTGAACTAGTACAACAAGATTCCATTATTGCGTAAGGCACTTCTCTTTTTGTCCCAGGCTTACTGTTTTAAAGTCCTACTTTGATCCTTAAGGATTTTTTTGGTAATAAAAACAAACAGAACAGAACCAGCTTTCTGCAAGCTCCACACCGTCGCCTGCTGTAAAAATCATCAAAACAGGGTGACAATCAAATTGCTGCTGATGACTCCAACCACAAGAATGACGATCATGATCAAAAGAGTCAGTCCACGTCGTAAGATCAGCTGTTTAACCGGCAGCACGTCTCCCACTGTGGAGATGGCGAACTCTCTCCGGCCGGGACTCTGGACGACACCCTCTTCCTTGTTGGTACCTCTGGTCGGAGTAAAGCCAACCTGGACCTGGCTCTGACTTGACTCTAAATGTTGAACAAGTAATTAAGCTTTTGAGAATCAAATCAGACATGTTTTTTTTTATTTATGAATGAATAATAATAGACAGTGATAATTGTCTGTTCCCACCTAATTGTTCCAGATTAAATGTTTCTTTTTCTTCCACGCACTGAACTCCTGCTCTCACTTGAGCCTGATCAGACAGAGGAAAAAATAATGAAATACATTAGCCAATAACATGTTTATCTTCAATAAAAATTCAGTAATTCAGTTTCTAACCTCTGCTGAAGCCTTTTTCCAGTCAAGTTTGCACAAAAACGTGATGAAGAAAATTGCCTGTAGTGAAACAGCAATTGTAAGTCCAGTCCACAGTCCTGTTGTAGTTAGGGAGAAAGTAGATTTTATGATGCACCAAGTAGATGAAAAGAGACAATGTACAGGTGCAAGAGAATAAAACAAATTATTGATGAAAAGTTTTAGTTCTGAAATTTATTTCAAAGAGCGAAACTGAAAACCTACAAGCACTGATAACACTGACAGGTTTATCCTGGTGTGAGGATGAGGGCTCAAAAAAAAAACTTAGTTCCTCAGGAAATTAGAAATGTGGTAAAGTCTGCTACCTTGACAGATGTTCAAGGAGACCATCTGTGCAAGGAGGGTAAGCTGCCAGGGGTCATAGCTAAAGAAGCAAGCTGTCCACAGAGTGCCATATTCCATAAACTATTATCAAACCGACTAGAAAGTAAAAGTTTTGACAAAGAGCAGAAAGGCCCAGAATCTTGTTGCTTGAGGTTCTGTAGAAAGCTTCCACATTCAGTCTGTGCTTTTTAATCATTTCCAAAGTAAATGTGGTTGTTTACCAGGAAATGTTAGAGCGCTTCATGCTTTCCTCTCCTGACTAACACTAAAGACACGCTGGTCTCATTTTCCACCAGAACTTGGCACCTGCTCCATACTCAAAAGAACTAAGACCTGCTTTAAAAACAACCGTGGTAGAATGAGACTCATTGGGAGTCGGAGGAAGAAAAGTCACCAGAGCCAATAATGTAGGTGAACTGAAAGCTGCAATCAGTCATTTAAGGAGCCCCAACCAATTATTACGTGCAAAAGCTGTACAGTTCATGGACATACTGTGAAGTTGTCTGACTTTATTTACAATGAAAATGACCTTTTCTTGGTTTTATCAACAATGTAATTTTCTGACAAGCTCAATTTTGGTTTTTCTTCAGCTCTAAGCCCAAACCATAATAACAAATCAGAGGAAATACATATTCCTCTGATTGTTATGAGTAGTTTTAGGGTTTGAATTCAACTTTATTAGATAAATAAACTTTCTTGCGCTAACGACTTTACATTTGTTGTTTATCTCACCAGTAATCCCCATGTTTGCAGCAAACATGAGGGTTGCGCCTATGGGAAACCCTACAAAGTAGAAGCTCACTATATTAAAAATGGTGCCAACCAGTTGTTTCCCAGCTCCTCTGAGAACTCCTGCGGCTACACCCTAAAAGTAACAAAAGCACATCTGATTACAACTTGTGTGCCGAAACCTGCTGTCTCAGACTTTGGTGTTTGATTGAATGAAAGTCGTTCTCACCGCAGTCGCATCACTGACATGCATGAAGCTGAATATGAGCATTACATCTGCAACCTTCTGAATTATGTCCCTAAAAAAGAACACAGGAATAGACTCCCTTAGATTGTAAATAATTACCAGCAGGAAACATTAAAAAGCACAGGAGATGATTCACTGTTTTAGTGAGGTAACAAGGTAAATGATTTCAGCTCGTCTTCAGTAGCTGGAACTGACTTTAGATGATTTTGGCGCTGATGGGCTAACATTTTACCACTAATACGCCAAACTTAGTTCATAATGTGGTATTACTAAGCTACCAACATGAAAAACAATTTAAACTAGTCTTTTTCTTTTCTTTTTCAACAATTTTTTATTCAGCATACACCAACTCTGTTACCAGAACTTTTAAACAAAACAGAAGCTCATTAAACAGTTACAGAGTCTGTGTATTTATTAATTTATGACTGTCTTCTGTCTGAATACAAAAAAAATCCTGTTGTGACACATGCAACAAGCTGCAATCAAAGGTCCTTAAATTGGCTGGGTTTTAGGAATCATTTACTGAGTTTGGGGTTTAAACTCTCTGAACTCTGAAAATGAATCCAGTGATGTTTCTGGTGATGCTGACGCAAACTCCAACAAAGCACGCAACAATGACTGTGCAAAACACGCAAAAAGCAATGTCAGTAACGGAGGTAGCTCTTCAGTTTCCACTTAAAAGCTGCGAAAGTAAATGTTTTTTTAAATGTTCCTTTAACAGTCTATCGTAGAAATACAAGACACAGAACTTTAACATTTCAATAAAAACATAACTGGGTTGATGAAATTGATCATAACATTGTATGTTATGAAATACTTTCAAATATTACAAGACCTGAAGAAAACACGCCAGATTTCTCCAAACGAGCCACGTTCCTATTGGCTCTTTGCACATACAGCGCTGACATCACATCCGCAGGCGCAAATGCGGCTCATTTTTTTCCCGCTTTGAGTGACCATGACCGCAAGGAAAGACAAAACCGTATTTCAAAAGCAATATAAGTAATACCATGAACACTGTTGTGTTCCACGGTACAGCGTCTTTCAAATATGACGGCCGTTTAAGTTTTCATGGATTTCCAAGCGATGCTGACTTAAAAAGACAATGGCTTATCAATATTCGTTGTGACAAATTTAAGCTAAATTTGCAGCCTGCACTTCCCTCCAGATCAGCTTCTTCAGCCTAAAACTGCTGGTGGGAGAAGAATGGTAAATAAAGGAGCCGTCCCTGTGTTATTTCAATGGAACAACTTCTGTGTTCAGCCTTAAAGAGCCGGTGTATAGGAACGAGTGAGCAGACCAGAGCCGGACAGCCGAGCAACTGATCCGCCTGTGCGATGCACTTCTGCAGATCACGATTATAGCCCTGTGGACTGGTCATGGCAATAAATGAAAAAGGGAAATCAAAAGAAGAAATAAAAGCCCTAACAAACCAGATCGAAGAAGTGAAAATCCAATCTACCTTTGGATTACAAAGGTTCGCAGGGATAGCTTGTACAATGCAACAAATCTTTTTCTTTTTAAAATTTGGGTGACTCACCCCAACTCTGGTTTCTTAATATGTAAAATAACAAAATAACGTAAGAAAATAACATGAATATTTAGATAGCCTATTTAAGTAAGACAATTGTATTAGTAAAATGCCTGAGAATATTTCCTATTAGCATAAGCTAAAGTTAAAGTTAGCTACGAAGTTTCATAACCACGAATGTTTGACGAAACTTGCATCTTAAAACCTTTTTCCAGTTTGCTTGATGGGGCTTTGGATCCCGTCTTACAAATGCGATTGACATCGTTAATTGTTAGCTTTGGCAAGCCCTGCAAACACCTACTGTAAAATGACATTTTTAATAGACCGGAAAAAAAAAACGAGCCGCTTTTCCCCAAACACGGAAGCTGACGTGCAAAGAGCCCATCGAGTCAGAATTCTGCAGGATCCAATGATTCTAGCTCAGATTTATTGAGCTGGAATCAGGGACAGAGAACCCGTTGTCAGAGCTTTTGGTTTTTAATCTTATGGCTTATGTATAGACCAAATATAGCAATGCTTAAAGACAAAGCAATTTTCTCCGTACTGCTCCAGTTTTCTGAATTAAACACCTAACATTATGAATGAGCACATATGCTGTGGAATGAGTCTTACATGCACAGATGATTGGGACTTTACACGACAGCTTGGCCTGCTCTATGTCTCCAGCACCAAGAGCGTTCCCGACCCGGACAGCAGCAGCAACAGAAAATCCAAGAGGGCTCTAGAAAAAAATCAACACAAAAGAGAACAAAATGTTATGTATATTTTTTAAGCGGAGATACTAATACCTGCCCTCTCACAACAGAAAAAGACTATTCTGTCTCCAGGATCTCAAGGACTGTTCAAATGTTGGACATTTAAGAGAACACAGAAATAATTAAGATTTTTTTTTAATGCAGTGTTAGCCTGGGGATCTAATAAAACACATTTCGGATCATTGATAGGCAGGTAGTGTTTTATGTGCAGTGAGCATCAGTGTGTGTGATCTATAGATACGTCACCATGTAAGCCACAATGCACAGCTGGTACGCAATAGACTGAGCCCCCAGTTCAACCTCGCTGATCACACCAGCCAGGAATCCTCCGACTTCAAAAATCCACCATGACAGGCAGATCATGAACATGCTAGGAATGGCCAGCTTTACGAAGAGACCCCACTCCTGCAGGCAGTCGAGTGACCAACCTGTGAGTCCACATATACAAAGGATTTGACCAGTGATGACAATAAACAAGGATAATAACACAGAAGGAGATTCTTACAAAAGTATAATGTATGTAATAAAAAAGCCAAAGTGCTAGAGTACAATCCAGAATGCAAACATGTATAGTTGACTTGGTTCTAAGACTTGAACTGACCTCCCCATGTGGCTTTGTGAAGACCCCTCCACCAGACGTAAACATGCAGGAACAAAGCCAGCACGTACTGAGAGATGGTGTTGGCTGCTGCAGATCCCCTTCATGTTAAACCCAGAGCAACCACACGAAGGACATAAACATAAGCATAAGATATGGTACAAATTGTTATTCAGAAATGTCTAGTGATGAAGCTGTCTGAAACCAAGTCGCAATAATTTTTGTTTATTTTAACTTTAGTGATATAGAAACTCACGCGACACCCAGCTCCAGATGATAGAGGAAGATATAGTTGATGAGAACATTGAGGACATTCCCAACTGCTCCAGTTACAACCTGAGGCCACATGATTCCCTGACATTTAAAGCACATGATTATATTTGTTTAATTCTAAAAGGCCTGGATATTTTTTTTACATTCCATGTCACAAATTTCCTCTGAGAGACACACCTGGTTTTGTAAGTACTTCCCTTCCAGCTGGTACATAAAAGCAGCCTGAAGATCATGACAAAAAAAGAAGGAAAACTTCAGGTTTATTGAATCAGTCAAGCTGTTTTTGTTCATCTATTTTTCCTTTTTTAATATTTGTAAAGTAGTTTTGATGGAATTTTCTACATTTCCTTTGGAAAGGTAATTTTAGTTACTCATCAAACTCACAGGAAGAGCGGGCATGAAGATCTTCACATACAGCTGGGACAGACTGCAAAATAAAAACTCACTGTTGACAAGAAGGACTATGAACTGAAGACATTTCCAACCCTTTTACTTTTTCACATGTCGTCAAACTACAAACTACAATTCACCCTACTTTGATTTTATGTCATAATCCAACTTTGCACTGTTTATTATATTGTTTTGTTTTTTAAATATCTAAAAAGTCTTTTTTAATTTTCCACTCAATTTAAATATGCATGATTAAATGTCTCTGAAAGTAAAGTGGAAGTAAAGCGAAATTCCTGGTCTGTGTGCAAAAACCTGGCCAATAAAGCCGACTCTGATAAATGACCAGCATCAGTTTAAATTTCTTATACACAAAAATCTAAATTGTATGACATGCATACAATTTACTCCATTGAACGTCCATAAAATTTCTAAATGTGAAAAGGTCTAAGGGAAATGAGATGCACTTGCTAAGGTGGATTTGAAAGAGACCTGGCAATCTCTGGACTCTGCTTGACCGCCAGCAGGAGGGGCTCGGTGTTGATGAGGACGGCCCAGCAGGGGAAACAGGCCAGCAGCAGAATCAGAACCCCCCTCTGGAGAATCACACCCACACGCTTCAGGTTACCGCTCCCATAGGTCTGCATGTAACAGAGCAAACAGATTTGATCCTCACCTGATGCAAATCTTTCACTGTTTGGCTGTTTGCTGAATTAACCGCAGACAAGGACTATCCACCTGAGATATGAGGGTATCGCAAGATGCAGACAAACCCGTGCCGACGGAAATACCAGTGACGTTCACCACCTGCATGGGAGAAAGCAAAAAAAAAAAAAGAGCTCAAGAATCAACTCAGCTCTAAAGAGGACAATCTGGGAATGCATCACGTTTGCCCAATTATGTTCACCGCAGCTGCCAGTGATACTGCTGCTAGCTCCGTCTTCCCCAGGTGACCGCAGAACGCCAGGCTGATGATGCTGATCAGGAAGACCATCATCTGGGAAATGACCTGCAAACACAGCATCACTTTCAGGAAAAATTAAACAAGGCTTTTGTTTCAAAGGCATTTTAGAACATTAGTTTAGAAGGCCCATAAACACAGAAAGTATTCTTTAGGATGTTTCATCACACCCAGATCTGTGGCAATAGATCTGCCTCTAAAGCTACAACATCCTTCAGAAGGTAGCATTTACAAAAAGAATCGATCAACTGTAAAATACAGGCTATTTTTTAAAATTTATTTTTAAAACATTATAAGTTAAAGACAAATGCAGTATTAAACCACACATATTTGCTTTCTGAAACCTCTGTGACCCCAGCTATGGTCTTTTTCAGTTTGCTTTGTCCACATAAATTAGCATCCATAAACTTATCAAATACTGTATTAATTAATTAATTTATTTTGTTGTTGTAATTTTTAGGTTTCACTTTTCAGAGCTTTTTTTTTATATGTTTATGGTAAATTCAACATAGACTAAACATTTTAGTTCTTAAAACAATATTGACTTTTTTTGTTGTTGTTTGAATTAATACTGCTATTTTAATTGCATTAATAATAATACATAAATAAATAAAAAACAGGATTTTTAAATATTTTTTTTATTGTGCAACCCTTCCTGTTTCCGGTCGAGTCACAGACAGTGGACCAGCTTCCTCTCAGTGTGGGAGCGCTTACCACAGGTCCCGCCAGTTTAAGGAGCCGCAGCAGCTCGTGTCTCGTGTCCGCCTGGACGCCACGCGGTCCGCAGCCTTCAGCCTCGCTCTCAACAAAGGAAGCGTCAGTCGGTCGTCTGCCAGCCGGCTCTTCGACAGTGTTGGTTTCCTCTGAACAGTCCATGTCCAGATATGTCGCGCCTTTATACACAAGGACTCCAGAAACGGTCTCCGCTCGTTGCGACTGAAATCATCCGGAGCTTTTTGACGAAGCGCAGACAGTAGATCTCCTCGCGCTCCCAAAAGGATATGATGTTTATGACGACACTGCTGCCAAAGGGAAACGGACTGACCTTTGGCACAGTAGCTATTTAGTACAACGCAACTATTTTATATGCAGAACAACATTTGCTTTCCTTAAAAAAAAAAAAAAAAATCACTATGTGGCACCTGTGCAACTGCTCCTTTAAGTACGCTGACGTCACCAAATCACAAGGACAGTACACTTGATACATCATGAATCAAATTACGTGCAAAAACCAAAAAGAAAACAAACATCTGTTTTAGGAACTTCATTATCGAATGAAACACATTCAGATTAAAGAGATTAATGTTTGAAAACCTGTTAATTATTAAATAAAATTTCATGCATCATCCAAATTTCATCAGACCAAAAAAAAAAAAAAACTGCTGAAAGAAAATTATGTTTACTACCTGCTTTTATTTTCAAAAGTAAGAATAAATCTCTCAGCCTCAACATCAAAACCCATATTCTAATTTGATCTGATTTTTTCATGTTTTGGACATTTGCATTTCTGAGAAGATCAACTTTACTTCCAGTTAAAAAGAGCTGTGAATATTCCCTGGGTTAAATTTTCAGGGTGGTGTTAACATGCTTCTTTTTGGGGTGTGATAAGTTAGAAGCCGTAAATTCATGAGCTCTACCTTATGTTTTTACATTAATAGAGAAATCATACTGCCTTTTACTTTGTGGATGTTAATTTAATAATTGCTAAGTAATGCAAACTCTCCTCGTCAAAACAAAACATTAAAAAACACAAAACTGCCTTGTGTGCTGACCCCAAAACCATTAAAGAGCTCATTCAAAAATGCAATTTCATAAAATAATTTTTAATAGTGGAAGTTGAGCATTACAAAGCAAGAAGCAGAGATCACAATTCAGTCATTCACAGATTAAATCCCTGATTAAACACTGTATTGTATATGAGCATGCTTTGTGAGGACAGATGAACTCCTTTAAGCTTCACTTTGTGGCCATAATAAAAAGAGAGTTGGTTCTATTTCTGAGGCAAAGTAGAAATCAAGTTCAGTAAAATATATTATTCTGCAACCAAATGCAACAGTACATGTCAGTAAGTAAAGCCTTGGTTGTTTTTATAATAAACAGAAACACTGACTGCCATAACTGGTCTTCCCAGCACCGAAGTGGTAGAAGTACTCCTGATTAATATTTCTCCAGTGCACATGCAAGTCTCGTGTAATTCAAGGCGTTCAATTTTAAGAAACATTCCAAGTGAAAATGCTTATCAAGGTTAATAAACTTTAAGTAAGACGGTGTAGTACAAGGTTTTGTGCTAGATGTAATTGGAATTTGATGAATTCTGATGACTGGATCTCAAAATAGACTGGACTGGTGAGAAGATTTCAGTGAACTGCCCACAAAACATACGAAAAGCTGAGAGAAGCTCAATCAGTCAATGATCATCCCTGTAACCTGGGGTTATGCTCAGATAGGATATCTGTGGCCAGATTCTGCTGTGACTGGACTCTTGCTCGTTGCTGTCAACCGCAGTAAGAAAGCACTTGGTGTAAAGGACAGGTAAGTACGAACAGGTGTTTCTGACTGTGTGCCGAGCTCAAACACAGTTGTGCAGGTTTTCATTGTCTTGAAAACGAGGTATGCAACTCATGACTCTTAAAATCCACACAACTATAAATAAAAAAAAAAAAAAAAAAATATATATATATATATATTATTGACAATATTTGGAGAAACGTGTTTGAAAGTTAGTGTCTGTACCAAGAAAAATAAATGCATAGGAAGGTTAAGTCTCAACTACAGGTGCAAAAAGAGGAAGTTGGATAAACAAAGACAAAAGCTGTTCATTGTATTTAACTTTTCATAAATAATACCAAAGGTTCGTGCAAATTTGCACCGAACTGAATGCAGCTCATTCAAACTGATCATGTAATGCACATACGCCGGCATTCCTCTGCTATGTATAAAAACAGCAAACAACTTCCGGTTCGATTCCTCGAATCGCATAACTTTAGGTTTTGTAAACAGTAACATTCAAAAAAGATCCTCCCAGATGGACGGGGTTATGTAAATATGCAGCACCTTGCAAAAGTATTTGCTCTTCTTTAACTTTGTCCACACTTTTTATAACTCCAAACTTAAAATATGTTTTAACTTTAAGTGATACATTATCACAAAGTAAAGCTATGCATCGTCTTTTGTGTTGGTCACAGAAAATCTAAAGGGACAAAAAAAAAAAAGAAGTTTGCAATCGGGTGTGGCAAAGATGTAAAAAGAAAAAAAACTTTTGCAAGGCACTGCATGCAAGAATAAGTAAACCACAGATCTCAAGATCACCAAGTTATACTAATGTAGAGCGCTGAGTAAACTAAAGGCCTGCGAACGAGTAAATCAAAACCATTTACTGTGTGTGATGGGACTTACACACAGTGTTTCTCCTGCTGACAATGCAGTTTGTAAACATTGCTTCTGCCACTGGCATTCTACGCTTCCTCAGACACACAGCAGCAACCCTTTCAATAAATAAGTAAATAAATAATACACTTGCTAGATCAAGAATACATTCAAGTATATCAGCTCCTAAATAAATCCACCGTTTGTGGACAGCAAAACTTGTGCAGCATAAACAACGTCATCACATGCACCTCTACACATGATCACTGTTAACTGCATCAAACTTTGCTCTGTCGTGTTGATTGTTCCAGCTGATAAAAGTCTAGAGCAGCTCTTGGGCTGGACAACGACACCAAATCTGAGGTTGTTCTCTCACAGTGCGGTGAGGGTACGAAACAGCTGGGTGAGGCAGAAGACGGAGGCGGTAAGTGCTGTGCACTGTTTGGCCAGCAGCTTGGTGCTCAGGTCTTGACAGCTGCGTTTGCTGCTTGCCCGCTCCGCCGCCAAGCAGAAGTCCCTGAATGAGCGGGCAACATCTGCCAGGCCTGCGACTGCCTCTGCGTTTCTCCGATCGCACCTTTCACAACCAGAGAACCAGAGGCAGATGGTGGCCAGATCCACCAAGGTTCGGAAACTGTCAGCCAAAAACCGGAGCATTTCCTCTGGGTTCTGGCCAGTCCCTGCTACCTTCTGGCAACTAGACATGAGCCGCCGAGCTTCTAACTGGAGAACCCGTCTGTTCTCTGTGAAGTGTGCCGGGCACGTGTCCCTCGCGTGCCGACCTCCAAGCCCTGCCACAGAACGATCAGAGCCACCGCTGCCTTCCAAAATTGATAAAAGCTTATCAACATCTCTGCGAAGAAGTTGGAAGCCTTTAGGAGGTTCTGGGTAGTGCTGCTGACCCAGACGAGTGAGAGTGTCCTTGTGGGTTTCAGACAAGTAGGATTCCGAGGTGTCTGAGTGGGGTGAGAGAAGAGGGCTGAGCTCAGAGGTGGAAGAGGAGGAGAAAAGGATGGTTTGAGGAAAAGATGGGGAGAGGGTGGAGGAGGCAGAGATAAAGGAGGGAACAGGAGGAGATGTAATCAGATGAAGACCTGCTCTGGGAGTTTGAGAAATGCCACTGTTTTGAGAACGGCAGGAGAACTCATAGACTGTAAGCTCATCATCAAAGCTATCTTCTCCACCGAAGCAGTTTGTATATGATGCTGGACAGCCACAGGCATCCAGGGGCACCTGGACCCCCTCTGCTACCGACTCACACCCAGATGCAAGTATAGAACTGCAACCAAACTCCGATTTCAGGGACGTAGTGGCAACCAGGTCAGCTGGAGTACTTGTCTGAGACAAATCCTCACAGATGGTGAACACTCTGCAACCAGCAGAAGACACTTTTGAAGGGTCTGGAGTCTGTTCCAAGGGACTACAAAGACCCATCAAAGGTCTGTCACTGCTTGTCCTTGCTTTTTGAGATTGACCATGAAAAGCAAGTTGTGGTCCATTCAGATTGTGAGTGGTCACCACTATTGGAGACTGACTGCTCCCTTTGTAACCTGGGATGTCTTCCTGTAGACTGTTGACTTTTATGTTTAGTTCTGGGGCATCTGTAACAGGTCCAGGAGTGTTGGTGTTAAGCACAGAAGTATTTCTTTGGAATAGGCTTGTTATGGATGCAGGAGGCTCTGTTATGGGTCCTGGTGTGTTGTCGTTGGGTCTGGAACAAAGAGTTTGATGATGCTGTTTGGGCTCAGTCTGTACAGGCAGCTGACAACTAACTTCTTCTTTCTCAGATGTCAGAGGAGATCTCTTTGCTGTTTCTACAAAAAACTCCCCATCCAATTCAGACCCAGTCAGCGTTGCATCAGAATCATCTGATTCGACTGACTCAGGTGCTCTGCCTGTCTCTAAGTCAAGGGTTTGTGTGACGTCGGGAACATTGTCGGTGGTACATGTATCGTCACTACTTGCTTCCCCAGCTGGACTCGGCGCAGAACTCCCAACCCCTGCTTGAGTAAGACTTTCTTGGGAGCGTGATAGATAAAGGGGCAAGTTTTGAATCTTTCCTCTTAGCGTTGATGCAGATAAGCGGCCCATGATGCTCGGTGAACAAGTCTGTAAGATAAAATGAGATGGGGGCGGAAGCTCTTTGGAGAGATCATTCAGTGTGGCAGTTTTTGCCATCACAATGCCAGGACTCTCTGCAGGTCCACTACTCATCAAGCTGGAGTCACTTTTTGGTTTTGGTGTAACTGTGTTTTTCAGTGCAGTTCCTGAGTTAAGAGAGGATATGATGCTTGTTGCAGCTCCCAGTTTTGCCCTAATTGACCTTAAAGTGAGAATGTGATCAGCATTGACAGAATGGTCCCTATTTTGGAGTTCAAGGTCTAAACTGATGTGTGTTTCATCTGTAGTTCCCTTGGTTAAGTAATCACCAAGGCAGCTGTTTGCACTTGCAGTCCTGTCTTTCGGTTTCTTACCTGAAGTGTAACTAAGGGAATTACTAGCATCTACATCATCATCATCGTCAAAAACGTTGTCTGAATTAGAGCTTTCTGTAGATTCATGAATGAGTTCTTTATCATTAACACTTATTAAAGCCTGTTTTATAAATTTAGCAGAGCCACTGTAGTTATTACTCTGTTGTTTGGGAGCTACCGCAAT